CTTTGTTTCTTTACCTGTTGTTCGGATAAATGTTTTTTTTTTGGACAGAGGTCTCCTCTGTTCCCCCAGCTCTAGAATGCAGGGCATTCATAATATCTCACTATAACCTCAAGACTGTTGTGCTAAATGATCTCCTGCTCAGCCTCCCAAGTAGCTGGACTGCAGTGCGCTGGCTAATTTCTCTATTTTGTAGTGTGAGATCTCATCTCTTGCTCAGGCTCCGTCTCAACTCCTGGCCTCAAGCAGTCCTCCTCCTCGGCCTCCAAACAGTACGTAGGATTTACAGGTGTGACCACTGCACTGCGTTGTTGGATTATCTAAAAAAGAGGGAAAAAAGATTCTTGTTTTAATTTTTTTTAGCAGTGTTTTATAGTTTTCACAAGTTTTTCACCTCCTTGGTTAAATTTATTCCTAGAGGGTTTTTTTCCTTTGGATCCTTTTGTAAATTGAATTACTTTCTTAATTTTCTCTTCGGGTTCCTCATTGTTGGTGGGTGGGTAGAAACACACCTGATTTGTGTGTGTTGGTCTTGTACTCTGCAACTTTGCTGAATTCCTGTATTAGCTTAGGTCAGTTTTTGTGGATTCTTTGGGATTTTTAACATGTAGGATCATGTCATCTGCTAATAGAGTTTTAATTCTTCCTTTCTGATCTGGATGCCTTTTTTTCTTGCCTAATTACCTGTGCTAGCACATCCAGTACAGTGGTGGATAACGGTGGAACTGGCAGGCATCCTCATCTTGTTCCTGATCTTAGGGGACAGCTTTCAGTCTTTCATCATGAAGTGTCATGTCAGCTGTGGGTTTTCATAGTTGCCCTTTAGTAGACTTGAGGGAATTCCCTTCTGTTCCTATTTTGTTTGGTGTTTTTATCATGAGATCATGAGACATTAACTTCCTAAAGGTTTTGTTTTACTTTTTAATGTAAAATTTTGGTGTGTTTGTTTTATTCTGACCAGTGCTGATTCCTAAAGAAAAGCCCCCAATCACAGTTGTTGGTGATGTTGGAGGAAGGATTGCCATCATTGTGGTATGTAGCCTTCTTTTGTTATTAATTTTAGTATTTACCATTGTGATTCTGTTGACTGACTTGTTAATTGTGGGCAAATAAAAGACCTAGGGATGTAGTGGTATTGTCGGGTACATCTCATTTAAGTTAGTGCCTTGTGCTAAACGTTTACTTTGGCCCAGAAACTGAGAAATGCTATCATTAGTTTACTTTAAAAATTGCTAACTACATAGTTAACTGAATATTGTGCAGCTATTTGTTATAACATGGGAAATTTTGTTTATTTTGAGACAGGGTCTCACTCTGTTGCCCAGGCTGGAGTACAGTGGTATCACACATCATAGCTCACTGCAACATCCAACTCCTAGGCTCAAGAGATCCTACTGCCTTGGCCTCCCAAGTAGCTGGGACTACAGGCAGGCGCCGCCACACCTGGCTAATTTAAAAATGTTTTTTGTAGAGATGAGGTCTTGCTATGTTGCCCAGGCTGATCTCAAACTCCTAGGCTCTAGCAGTCCTCCCCTTCAGCCTTCCAAAGTGCTAAGATTACAGTCATGAGCCACTGTGCCCAGACAGAAATTGTTTTGTGATAAGAGTAGGAAGCAAAGTTGATTGTAACTGTTAAAAACACGTGCTTTCATACATCGTAAAACAAGTACACAAAAATAATATACTTAATGCCTATGTAGCTTGAAGAATAGAATAAACACCTGGGTACCTGCTAGCCCACTTGCAGGATGGCACATCACCAGGTACCCTGAAGCCTCCTGTCGGCTTACCTGGGGCTCTTTCTTTTCTCTCCTCCTCAGAGGTTGTCCCTAACCCAAAATCTGTCCATTTGTGCCCTTCCTTATCCTTACAGTCTGCCAGGAATGCACATACCCTGAAATCCTGTGGATCTTTGCGACGACCCCTACATATAATGCTTTTTTATGTTAACAGCAAATAATGTATGGAAGGAAAGAAAGCATTATCCGCCAGGGGTGGTGGCTCACGTCTGTAATCCTAGCACTCGGGCCGAGGTGGGTGGATTGCTTGAGGTCCGGAGTTCGAAACCAGCTCTGAGCAAGAGCAAGACCCCATTCTACTATAAATAGAAAGAAATTAATTGGCCAAAATTATATAGAGAAAATTAGCCAGGCATGGTGGCGCATGCCTGTAGTCCCAGCTACTCAGGAGGCTGAGGCAGGAGGATTGCTTGAGCCCAGGAGTTGAGTTGCTGTGAGCTAGCTGGTGCCATGGCTCACTCTAGCCTGGGCAACAAGGAGACTCTGTCTCAAAAAAAAAAAAAAGGAAAAAGCATTATTCCTTAGTATCTCAAATATAAAGATTTATATTTAGTATTAGATTTTAAAAATCAGTGTTGGTAGCTCACGCCTGTAATCCCAGCACTTTGGGAGGCCGAGGATCACTTGAGGCCGGGAGTTAGTCAAGACCTGGGTACGCAGCGAGATGTCATCTCTACAAAAAATAGGAAAAATTATCCAGGTGTGGTGGCACGCACACATATCCCAGCTACTTGCGGGCTGAGTGGTAGGAGGATCACCGGCCTAGGGAGTTCCAAGCAACTGCAGTGAGCCTGTGAGCGACACCAGTGAATCCAGCCTGATGATGACCAGAGCAGAGACACTTGTCTCAAAAAAACCTTTTTTTTTGTATCTTTATTTCTTATAGATGAATAAACCAACTAAAAGATAATGAAAAATTCTTTTTCAGAATATAATACCATGTTATAATTTTTTAAACATGCCATAACATAGATGCATAAAATTAGGAAGAAAATAAAGTAGTGATATCCCACTATTTAAGGACACACATTTTAGTATTTTGGTAGCCACTTTACTTTTTGTGTCCCTTATTTCATGAGCTGTGATCCCTGCAGGGAATCATGAATGAATGCATATCCTGCCGTTCTCCAGCTGCATACATATTTTTTACAAATCATCAGAACGTTGTTAAATGCATTTTATTGGCTGTGTAATATCCCATCTGATGATTGTGGCTGACTGCCCAACACACTATTTGGGGTGTTTGTTCTTTGTTTCCAATGTATAATGTGCAGTAAACATAGCATGGGTAAAAAACTTTTCCCATACTTTGGTTTTTGCATTACAACTTTCTGAATGTGCGATTAATGAGTCTAAAGGCATAATATGTGTGACTCTGTGTCAGGTTTGATTTTTAAACGGTCTAGTCCATTATACTTTCTACCGCATGAGGTCAAGTGTCGCTGGAAAAGAGAGTGTTGAAATATAACATTCACTCAGTTCTGGTATTTTGTTTTACTTTTTTGTCCCTTCCCTGACACTAACCTAGTTCACACATTGGCATTGTTGTCAATCTTTGAGTCTCTTTTAATCTGACCATTGGTTCTCAGTTGCGGGTAGGTTGCATTTGTTCTGAAGGACTTTTGGTCATGCTCTGGAGATGTTTTGATCATCGTGATTGGAGGAGTTGCTACTTGGCATTAGTGAGTAGAGGCCAGGCGCTGCCTCAATTCTCATGATGCACTGCAATCCCTACAACAAAAGCTGGCCCGAAGGATTCAGTGGTTTGAGAAGCCCTGATCTGTAGAATAGGTCTACTTTTTTCCTTCAGTGACATTGGCTTTTTTAATGAATCAAAGTTCACATAATATAGGATTAACCATGTTAAAGTGTAATTGGCTGGAATTTAGTATTTCACAATGTTTGTGGAAACTACTATTTTTTTTTGTTTCAAACTTCATCACTCCAGAACACCCTGTAACCTATTAAGTAGTCACTCCCAAGCGCATTCCCCACACTCCTGGGCAACCATTAATTGCCTTTTCGTCTGTGTGAATACCTATTTAACATTTCTGATAAATGAATCATACAATATGTGGGCTTTTGTGTTCTGGCTTCTTTCATTTAGCATGTTTTCAAGGTTCATCCTGTTGTACTTCATTCCTTTTGATGGCTGAGTAATATCTGTGTAGACGACAATTCTCTGTGTGTCCATCAGTGATAGTAGGATACCTTGCCCATAATGCTGCTATTGTCATTCATGTACAAGTTTCTGTATGGATATACACTTCTCTTGGTATATATGCCTAAGATTAGGTTTCTGGACAGGTGATAATTCTAAATATACTTTTTGAGGAACTTTCCGTGTCACAACGCGCACCGTTTACATCCTACCAGTAATGCATGAGGTTCAGTCCATCTACCACACTATCGATTTTTTATTGTAGCCATCTTTAGTGGAAAAACATTGCAATGATTCCTAATGACTAAGGATGTTAAGTACCTTTTCGTGTGCTTTTTGGCCAATTGTTTTTCTTTACCTGTTCGTTCATGAGAATGTTTTTGTTTTTTGAGACAGGGTCTCCCTCTGTCCCCCAGTCTAGAATGCAGTGGCATCATAATATCTCACTATAACCTCAAACTCTTGGGCTCAAGCGATCCTCCTGCCTCAGCCTCCCAAGTAGCTGGGACTGGCAGTCAAGCTGGCTAATTTTTTATTTTTGGAGGTGGTTGGGATCTCACTCTTGCTCAGGCTTGGTGTCTCAAACTCGCTGGCCTCAAAGCAGTCCTCCCTCCTTGGGCCTCCCCAAATGTGGCTAGGTTACAGGTGCTGACCACTGCACCTGGCCTTGTTGACTTGTATATATATATATCTTCTTTGGAGAAATGTCTATTCAAATCCTTTACCCATTTTTTTTTAATGCTTGTCTTTCTTATATCTTTCTCCCCTTCCTGCCCCTTTGCCCATTTTTTAATTGGGTTGTATATCTTTTATTATTGAGTGTAAGCTTTCTTTGTATATTTAGGATACTAGACTCATCAGATACATGGTATGCAAATGTTCTCTCATTCTTTAGGTTATCTTTTCACTTTCTTGATAGTGTCCTTTGGCACACAAAAGGACATTTTGATGAGTCTGAATTTTATTTGTTGCTTGTTTTTTGGTGTAATATTTAAGAATGTTGGCCAGGCGCAGTGGCTCACGTGGTTTGTGGGGCTGAGGTGGGAGGATAGCTTGAGGCCAGGAATTTAAAACTAGCCTGTGTAATATAGTGAGACCTCCTTCAACAAAAAAAATTTTTTTGAAAGACTTAACTGGGTGTGGTACTGTGCACCTGTAGTCCCAGCTACTCAGAAGGCTGAGGCAAGACAGTCGCTTGAGCCCAGGAGTTTGAGGCTGCAGTGAGCTATGACTGAGCCATTGCACTCCAGCTGAGTGGACAGGCTCGTGGGAAAGTGCTGATAAGCATTTGACTGAGGGCTGCAAAGTCCTCCTGGTGTGCATCCTTCTTGCTGGCTCCTGCTCCAAAGCTATTGGGTGCGGCCTGTGCTGCCACTCCCTTTCAGAGTCTGCCTGGCCACTGAGGGGCTTGTGTCTAGGAACCTCAGCGGAGCCCACAGGGCTGAATTGGTCTGTTGATGAGACATGCCCTTTTTTTTGAGACAGAGTCTCACTCTGTTGCCTAGACTAGAGTGCTGTGGCGTCAGCCTAGCTCACGGCAACCTCTAACTCCTGGGCTCAAGCGATCCTCCTGCCTCAGCCTCCCAAGTAGCTGGGACTATAGGCATGTGCCGCCGTGCCTGGCTAATTTTTTATATGTATATTTTTAGTTGTCCAGCTAATTTCTTTCTATTTTTTTTAGTAGAGGCGGAGTCTCGCTTTTATTCAGGCTGGTCTCAAACTGGTGAGCTCAAACTCCTGAGCTCAAACGATCCGCCCGCCTCAACCTCCCAGAGTGCTAGGATTACACCTGGCCGAGATGTGCCCTTGAACGTGAAAGACAGTATGTTCCTATGGAGTCTTGCAAGTGCATGGGCTATGATCTGGAGCATGTTGGCAATCTTTAGATGACTTTGTGACTTGCTGGGCATTGGCTTCAAGTGTGGCCTTAGGTAGTGGATTCTGGACTGCAGAACCAGAGCTGCAGGTCTCCCATCTGAAAGTGAGGGTGTGGGAACAAGATGATTTGTAAGTTCTTTCTAGCAGTTCTTTATCTACTTATTTGGTCTTTATGTTTCAGCTTGTTTCATTCACAATTTTAATTATAATGTTTCTGTGTTTATATTTTGACTCAAGTAGTGGTCATTATATACTTTGGGAATGTACTAGAATTTAATTTTGCAGATCCTAAATATTGAATTTTTTTTGATCATTTGACGACCCTACATATAATGCTTTTTTTATGTTAACAGCAAATAATGTATGAAGGGAAAAGAAAGCATTATTCCAGCCAGGCGGTGGCTCACGTCTGTAATCCTAGCACTCTGGGAGGCCGAGGTGGGTGGATTGCTTGAGGTCAGGAGTTCGAAACCAGCTCTGAGCAAGAGCAAGACCCCATCTCTACTATAAATAGAAAGAAATTAATTGGCCAACTAATATATAGAGAAAAAATTAGCCAGGCATGGTGGCGCATGCCTGTAGTCCCAGCTACTCGGGAGGCTGAGGCAGAGGATTGCTTGAGCCCAGGAGTTTGAGGTTGCTGTGAGCTAGGCTGATGCCATGGCATCACTCTAGCCTGGGCACAAGGGAGACTCTGTCTCAAAAAAAAAAAAAAAGGAAAGAAAGAAGCATTATTCCTATAGTATCTCAAATATAAAGATTTTATATTTAGTATTAGATTTTAAAAATCAGGTGTGGTAGCTCACGCCTGTAATCCCAGCACTTTGGGAGGCCGAGGATCACTTGAGGCCGGGAGTTAGTCAAGACCTGGGTACGCAGCGAGATGTCATCTCTACAAAAAATAGGAAAAATTATCCA